GCAGGCAGGATGCCAGCCGCTAGTGGAGACTCTGGGGCTCCCCCTCCAGGAGGCCACAGAGCCAGGGGACCCAATGCAGGCAGACGGTGCCCACCCTAAGCAGAGCAGCCAGAGCCCCGTGAAAGCTGTGTCCAGCAGTGGGGATTCTCAGCCTGAGGACCCTCCAGGCAGGGGGACGGGGTGGTCCACCTCACAGAGGGCCAGCCAGGACCACCTGTTAGAACAAGGGACCGACGATAGCAGGCCTGAGACAGAGAGGGCTCCCGGTGATCGTGGCCAAAAGGAACACCTGCCAAGCAGCGATTCTGAGGGGAAGGAGCCAGACAGAGGAGCCCCCCAGGAGGGAGGAGCCCAAAGGACAGGAGGGGCTGGCCTGCCTGGAGGGCCCCAGGAGGAGGGAGGTGATGTCCCCTGCGCCCCAGCCTCAGTTCCTACCTCGGGCTCTGCTTTGGGACTCGGCCCTACCTCTTGGTGTCTGGAACCCAGGTCTGTGGCCCAGGGCTCCCCTGACTCCCAGCAGACCCCCAGCAGGATGGGCAGGGAAAGGGAAGGGACTCATAGCAGCCTGGAATGCTCGTCCCTTGGGATGGGTGTCATCACAGACCTGAGCACAGACCCCACTGAGCTGGAAGAGAAGGCTCTGGAGGTGGCTGGGCCTGACAGGCAGGTCTGCGCCATGTCACCTGCCTCTCCCGAGAGGAAGGCCGCTGATGGAGGCCACGGGAGAGCCCTGCCAGGCTGCAGCCCACTCACTGGGGAAACCACCGGAGGGAGAGGGGAGGCAGGGCAGGACGACAACCCCCCGGATGACGTCCCAGTGGGCCCTGCAGCCTCCCTGGTTCTGGCACCTGGGAGCGGACAGCCCATGATGGGGGCTGGAGATTCCAGCCATCCAGCCCTGGACACAGGTCCACGTGTCGGCCAGAAGCAGGAGCCAGGCCCTGCTCAAGAGGCAGCCGAGTCAGGCAGCCAGAACCTTGAACAAGACCTCGAGGGGCTCGGTCTGTCCCCACAAGCCTCTGTTCTGCTGGAACACAAAGCAGCAGCAGACGGCCCTCTTCAGGAGCCTGGGACCCAGCAGGGCGGTCCAGACACCACCTTGGACCTGGCAGGGCAGCGAGACCACCTGCCTCATTCTGCAGACCAGGCCACCTGGGCAGACTCTTCAGCTGTGGAGCTCGACTTCCTGCCAGACAGCCAGATACAGGATGCCCTGGATGCCTCTGACTTCGAAGCCCCACCTGAGCAGGTGAGAGCTGCCCTGAGTGACAGACATACCTGCCCAGGGCAGGTACCCAACATCCACAAGCCCCCTCCTCACACAGCGCAGTGGTGGAGGGGGAGCTGGGGTTCACGGCGTTCCATTTACACAACCACTGACAAGGAGTTGCAGCTCTAGTGGGTGTGGTTTTCCAGAAAGTGCAGACCTGCCTTTGGGTGGTTGTTGACACATCCAGGGTGGTGACAGAAAGCTGCATTCTCAGCCAGGGCCTCCTGCATTGAACTGGAGTTCCCAGGAATGCCAGCCCCTGGCAGCTTCCGCTTCAGTGCTTGACCCTGGCCATGGGGTCTCAGGAGATGTGTTGAGGGCTGTGGACACAGTGGGGCCTGGGGAGAAGCTGGGCCTGGGGAGGGGGCTTCACTCCCAAGCTGCCAAAGAGGCTTTGCCCATCTCCTTAGGGTCCTCTGAGGATCCTGATATGATTCTTTCCCAAACATACCTAAGTAATTTGGTTTTTCTGCCAGAACTTGTAAGGGCTTTCCCTCCTTCAGGGATCTGCCCCCCAGCAGCGCTGCCCGGATGTGGCCTTCTCTGGCTCCAGAGCCAGTGCCAGCCGTTGGCGCTTGTTCTCCTGTCTGGGCAGGTGGCAGCCTTGCTTCAGCCCTGCCCCCAGGGGAAGAGCGACCTCCCCAGCCGTTGGAACGCCTGAGCCTGGGCTGAGGGCTTCACAGCCACGCCCTGGGAGGTAGGCGGTTCTCTGTGCACACACTGGGTGTGGCAGCGAAGACTCTGGAGTTCCTGCGCCTGCCGGAGGTGAGGTAGGCAGGAGGGGAGGAGGTCATGCCCAGCCGCCGTGTCCTGGAACACAGAGCTCGATTTGCTTTTCAGATGTCAGCTTCTGTTTCTTTGGCTGTCCTTGTGTTCAGATGTTTAAAAAAAAAAAAAAAATTCATGGCCAGGCACAGTGGCTCCCACCTGTAACCCTAGCACTTTGGGAGGCCAAGGCAGGTGGATCACCTGAGGTCAGGAGTTTGAGACCAGCCTGACCAAATGTGGAGAAACCCCATCTCGACTAAAAATATAAAAAATTAGCCAGGTGTGGTAGCGTATGTCTGTAATCCCAGCTACTTGGGAGGCTGAGGCAGAAGGATTGCTTGAACCCAGGAGGTGGAGGTTGCCGTGAGCTGAGATCACACCATTGCACTCCAGCCTGGGCAACAAGAGCGAAACTGTATCTCAAAAAAAAAAAAAATTAGCTGGGCTTGGGGGTGCACGGGTGCAGTCCCAGCTACTTGGGAGGTTGAGGAGGGAGAATCACTTGAGCCCAGGAGGTTGAGATTGCAGTGAGCTGAATCATGCCACTGTACTGCAGCCTGGGTGACAGAGTGAAACCCTGTCTCAAAAAAAAAAAAAAAAATAGGAGTCACAGTGCGGTTCAGTGGTAGAGCCTAAACACGAGCACATGGGAAAGGCAGGAGTTCAGGTGCTGAACTCAGCTGAAATTTTATGAGCCTCACACCTGAAAAATGCAGATCCCTAGCTCAAGAGCAGAGCCGCCTCCAATGCCTGCAGTCTGTGGTCTCGTGGGCAGTGGCTTGGAGAAGGCTGGGGAATGATTAGGGTGTTTGGGGCCAAGTGTGCCAAGGTGGCATCTAGCAGGTGAAGCCCGAGCCCTCCTAAATGGGCTGCCAAACTTCGAGTTTGGAAAAAGACCCGGAAATCCAGACTCAGGGGGACCCCGACAGACAGCCAGGGTAGTCAGACCTGACCAGCATCAGCAGCCTTTCTCCGGCCAGGGGAGGAGGCCCCGCTTGACAGCACTGCCAGGGCCTGGGCGTGTTTGGTTTTGACACCAGGCGTTCCCCAGCAAGTCAAGGCGACCCAGGCAAGGAACACATTCCCGTGGGAAGGTTCTGGGCGGCTCCTGGCAGGAAGGCTGAGGCCCATGTCTCCCGGCGTGGGCAGGGGCACCCAGGCACAGCAAAGATGGGTCATGAGGACCATCTCAGTGCCTCCTCCTGACCTTACTGTGGTCACACACTGTGCTAGAGGAGGGGACTCGGAGGGACACAGCAGAGACAGCTTTCAAACCTCAAACCGCAAGGTCTTGTCACGGGAGGATGTGCTGTTACCGTCTCATAGCTCCTCTGCACGTGCTCCTCGACCGGTGGAGCCTCTGCAGTCTGCGTATGGAGTCATTTAATTTATTTTTTATTTTTATTTTTTTCATGATCTGTGGTTTTCTTTTTAATTATCTTGTCTTATGATCACACATAATTTTTAAATTTGTGTGTATCTCCTCTACTTTAATCGTTTTAAGTTGGCAAAAGCACCATTCCCAATCACAAATACACAGCAGTTGTACGGTTTTGTTTCTGAATGGCTGTTTAAAGACAATCCTGGGCCGGGCGCGGTGGCTCAAGCCTGTAATCCCAGCACTTTGGGAGGCCGAGGCGGGTGGATCACAAGGTCAAGAGATCAAGACCATCCTGGTCAACATGGTGAAACCCCGTCTCTACTAAAACTACAAAAAATTAGCTGGGCACGGTGGCGTGTGCCTGTAGTCCCAGCTACTCAGGAGGCTGAGGCAGGAGAATTGCCTGAACCCAGGAGGCGGAGGTTGCGGTGAGCCGAGATCGCGCCATTGCACTCCAGCCTGGGTAACAAGAGTGAAACTCCGTCGGATACAAAAAAGACAATCCTAAATTATAACTTACTTTGACTTAGATTATAAAGAATTCAAGAGTGAAGTTTAATTGGCTACTGTTTTAAAAGCATGTGACCTTATAGATCATCTATAAAATGTGTGAAGTGTTAAGTAATTTTTCTTGTTTTTTTTTTTTTTTTTTTTGAGACGGAGTTTCGCTCTTGTTACCCAGGCTGGAGTGCAATGGCGCGATCTCGGCTCACCGCAACCTCCGCCTCCTGGGTTCAGGCAATTCTCCTGCCTCAGCTTCCTGAGTAGCTGGGATTACAGGCACGCGCCACCATGCCCAGGTAATTTTTTGTATTTTTAATAGAGACGGGGTTTCACCATGTTGACCAGGATGGTCTTGATCTCTTGACCTCGTGATCCACCCACCTCGGCCTCCCAAAGTGCTGGGATTACAGGCTTGAGCCACCGCGCCCGGCCAAGTAATTTTTGATATTACACATAGCCCACACTAAAATGCTTTTCAGTAAGTAAAAACTAAAATGCCTTTTGATAAGTAAAAACCATTGTAAACACAGGGAATTCTAATTGGATTGGCATAGTTAAGGCCAAAACATAAAGTAACCATTGCTACCTCTTTGTCTTCAACCCTTGCCTTTAAGAGGCAAATGAACACAAAACACAGGTGAACCTTTGCTTGGTTCTGAGACGGTGAAGGAATTTCCCCCATATTTAAATATATTCACATACCGGTTACATAAATCTAAACATAAAACCAATCTCCAGTAAGTTTTAAGATGGCACTCACCATCTGTGAAAAGTTTAACATTCCTAACGAAGTCTAATCATATCTTTAGAAGGGATAAACAGTGATAGCATTTACTAAATTGGAATTACTATTAAAATTCAAAAATTGAACATACTTATTTAACCACAAGCCAGTCTTAGTTTTAAATCAGGACTGCCCAACAAAATATTCTGTCATTCATTCATCATGTAAATTCTGGTGTATGAGATCTATTAAAGTATGGTACACATAAAGTCATGAGACATGTGTATGTACACATAAATAAGGCAGAGTACCAGACAAAGTATGGTACACATCAATCAGGCAGTGGCCAATTGTTACTCATTAGTAACTTTTCTGAGATAAGCTATCAAGTCTGCCCTTTCTCCCTTCTTCTTAATGCCGGCAAAGATCACTTTTGTTCCAAGGATGTACTTCATGGGATTCTCCAAATACTCCATCAATGTATCCTCTCCCCAGGTGATGTCTGTGTTCTTATTGGCGTCAGTGTAAGAGAATCCCGCGGCCCAACCTGTCTTCCGCCCAAAGATACCATGGAGATTAGGCCCATTCTCGTGCTTGCCTCCCTTTTCCACAGTGTGGCCCTGGGAACACTTCTGAACACAAATTTTCTTCCCTTTCTCAACATCACCCATATTTAATTCTCATTTTTTGTTGCTGGCGCAACAAAGGTTACCACTGGGAAGCCAGACATCCCACTGTCTCGGAGTCATTTAATTTAATTTAAATTTTGGAGACAGGGCCTTGCTGTGTTGCCCAGGCTGGAGTGCAGCGGCACAATCACAGCTCACTGCAGCCTCAGCCTCCCGCGCTCCTGCCTCAGCCTTCCGAGTAGCTGGGACCACAGGCATGTGCCACCATGACCAGCTAATTTTTGTATTTTTTTGTAGAGACAGGGTCTTGCCATGTGGCCCAGGCTGGTCTAGAACTCTTGGCCTCAATCCTCCCACCTCAGCCTCCCAAAGTTCTGGGATTACAGGCATGAGCCACCACGCCCAGAGTGGCTCATTGTAGGTCACCACTGTGATGGAGCTTGACAATTTCCAATAGAAATTAAACCACCCTTGGAGTTACCTGGCTTTCCCCTGTATTCACTGGGACTTTCCCCCTCGTGTTGTATTTGCAGACTCTTTTCCTAACGGGATGTGCGTGGCGTATTCAGCCAAGGTAGACGACTCACTTCACTGCAGTTGCCACTCCTTGGCGTTTTCTCTGTACCTGCAGGAGACTGCAGCGATGTCAGGGCCAGAGAACTCACGGCACAGTGGGGCTCCCCACTGCTCAGATCAGCCTGGGGGAGTTCCGGGCCCAGGAGCGGACACCAAGGTTGGGTTTGGCATTGCTGTGGCCTTTTTCTTTCTGAGGGGAAAGGGCAGGCACGGCCCAGGCTGGTAGCCCCGGGTCTCCCCATCGCAGAGCTCCTCCCTGGTCCTTCTCTTCCTCTGCAGGAGCCCCAGCTGCCCCCGGTGTGACCTGCTGTGGCCACGGTGAAGCCAGAGGTGCCAGTATGACTAACTAACGGTTCTCCCGTGCAGAGCTTGCCCAGCCCGGGCCCGGCTGCTCACTCCTTGTGCTCTCTTTCCAGCTCTTTCCTTTGGGGAGCAAGCCGGGCCCTTGCTGGCCTGGCCCCAGCCCACACGCCAGTGAAGACCCTGTTGCAGTGACCAGGGCCCAGCCGAGGTAGGTGCGGGGTGGGGGAGAAGGGGCTCCAGGACCCTCACCAATTTTACCACACAGGGTGACAGACGGAGGGACCTCAGTTCTCCCTCCCTAGGCCTCAACTTCCTCATTCCAACAGGGGAGCTGAGCCCTGTCTTTTAAACTGCACACGTTCCCCTGATTCCCAAAAGCAGAGGAACAGGCTACAGTGACCAGTGATGGGCACCCAAACAGCACCTCCCCAGGAGCCCTGGGATAGTGCCCCTGGCTCTGTGGGTTGTTTCTCTCTGGGAGGAGGGGCCAGAGCTTCCTCCTGAGTCTCTGGGAAGGGGAGGGGACCCAGACAGGGCTCAGAGCTGGTGGCTGAGACCGTCTTGGAGCTGTTACTAGCTCTGGCACCAGGCGGGTGTTGGAGTGACTCTAACCTGCCCTCACCTCCTCCCTCCCACTTGGCTCCTGCCCCAGGTGATGCACTTCCTCCCTCCCACAGGCTGAGCCTGCTCCAGCCTCCTGTGTGTGAGGAGGGCCCTCTCCCCTACACCATGCCCAGGGTCCCTGCAGCCTGTCCCCTCCTCCGCTGCTCTCCCGCAGCCCTCCTTGCAGCCAGCACTGGGCAGCCAGCCACCTTTTCTGTTACCTGGTACTTGAACCTGCCTCTTTGCAGAGGCAGTGGCTCATCAATTATTTATGGCCAAGTTTCTGTTTCTGTCTGGTGGGGGGAGGGGCGTGGGGGTGGAGGAGGGTTTTTTGGGACTCAGCCCTTGGCTGTGGCCCTTACTCTGCCCTTCCACCTTCCCTTCCCCCCTCCCCTTCCCCCTTCCTCCCCCTCCTCCTGCTCCTCTTCCTCTCCCCCGCAGCAGAGGGTGGCTCTGTCCCCCCCTCCTGCCCTCACTCCCTGGGACTTGCACCTGCTGTGCCACTGGCCGCCTCCCCCATCCACACACACAACCTGCGTGTGGACCAGTGGCAGTTCATCAGAGCGGGCCGCTGTGGTTTGAGTAAATGGCAGGAAGATTTCACATCCGGGCCAGTACAGCTCTCCTCCCCACCGCCCTGGATGTCTGGAAGCTCCCAGAGGGTCCTGGGGTCTGGTTTGGTGGCTTAAGGCTGAATGACACACACAAGAGGCTAAGGCCCAGAGGCTGCCAGCCACCTCGGGGTGACCAAGGCAGGAGGAGCAGGACAGCAGTTTCCAAAGTGGCAGTCCCAGCGGTGCTGCCAAGCCTAGGGCATGGGCGGGTTTAGGGTGGGTGACTCCCACTTCCCCACCTGCCCCCTGCGGTGCCTGTGTCTGAGTGGCAGCTGTTCTATGGCTCCTCTGCTCTGCTCTTCCGTGGTTTTTTTTTTTTATTTGAGACACCGTCTTGCTCCCATCACCAGGTTGGAGTGCAGTGGCACAACCTCAGCTCGCTGCAGCCTCTCCTGGGCTCACTTGTGTGATTCTCCAACTTCAGCCTCTTAAGTAGCTGAGACTACAGGTGGTCGCACACAAAATTAGCCCATTACCATACCCGGCTAATTTTGTATATTTTTTTAGAGATGAGATTTTGCCATGGTGACATTACAGGCACGAGCCACAGTGCCTGACGGTATATTTTTGATATAGAATCTTGCTCTGTTGCCCAGGCTGGTGTGTGGTGGTGTGATCATAGCTTACTATAGCCTCCATCTCCCGGGCTCAAGTGATCCTCCCACTTCATCCTCCTGAGTTGCTGGGACTACAGGCATGCACCACCACGCCTGGCCAATTTTGTATTATTTGTAGAGATGGGGTCTCACTATGTTGCCAAGGCTGGTTCTGAACTCCTGGGCCCAGGCCATCCTCCCGCCCCGGCCTCCCAAACCTTCCATGGATATGAATGCCATCTGGGGCCAGCTTTTCTGGCACTGCCCTGGGTGCTGGTGAGGCAGTGTGGGAAAACAGAGTTTGGTGCTAGTAGGGGATTCAGGGTGTGGGGACATGAGAGACAGGGAGCAGATTAGATGATCAGATGTCAGAGTGCTGGGGAGAAAAAGGCAGCAGAGAAGGAGTTAAAATGTAAGGGGTGCTCAGGGGAGCCACCGCCCATCCCCCACCACCGAGGAGGAGACTTCAGGAAAAGCACATTCCACTGTCTTGAGTGAGAGGTGCTCCAGGAATGGCCAGGACTCCAGTGTGGCTCGAGCAGGGGGGAGGGGAGAAGGGGGGATGAGGAGAGGGCACGGGGCAGGCAGGTGGTGCAGGGTCTGAGGGGTGGACCACCAGGAGGGGAGGGCCTGCCTCTGAGCCAGGTTTCCACATTCAGTGCCCGGTGCATGCAGGGAGCAAGAGGGCAGGGGGAGGCAGGGGAGAGAAGGGGCTGAGTTCTGGGCCTGCTGGGCTGTGGAGCCAGCTGAGTTGGCCGTCAGGGCTCTGTCGTGAACAGAGGACAGGCTGGACACCTAGAAAGGCCGGCGTGAGGCCAGCGGAAGCCCCTCTACTGGAGAGCTCTGGTAGTCCGGTGAGGCTGGGCCACTTTTAACTTCTTCCCTGCTGCTTCCCTGCCTGCCAGGACCTTCGTGGGGATCCAGGCCTGTGAGGCCCCCAGGATGGAGGACGCCACCAACATCGTGCGTGGCCTCATCGTTGAGCTCTCCAACCTGAAGTATGGGGTGGGCTTGGACTCACAGGGCACGGGGGCTGCGGGAGGCCAGTGGGGACCCAGAGGAGCAGGGAGGGACTGAAGCGCAAAGCGCCTGGGTGGGTGGCGAGGGTCAGGCACCCCACTGCCGCTGGGCCCTCGGCGGCCCCCTCTCCCCTGTCCTTTGCAGAACATGGGCTCTGAAGGGCTGGAACAGGCCCAGCCTGTGCTGCCACACTCGTTCTGGTTGTGTGCACATGTGTGAGCTGTGTGTGTACCCGAGTCATCAGTGACCATGTGGCTGTGAGGCGCAGCCCCCCTGTCACTTGGTGACCGCTGAGCCCCACACACGTGCCTGTTTCCCCAAAGCCGGCTGATCATGGGCACTCACCGGGACCTGGAAGCCTTCAAACGCCTCAACTACAGGAAGACAAAGCCAGGAGGCAAAGCCCACTGCCTTACCCTTCAAAGGGGCCTGGGGATGTCCCTCGAGGGGACCAACCCTGGAGGGAGTTGTCGGCGGCTCTGAGGTCTTTTTCCTTTGCCACCCAGCCCCCATGCCTGTGGGCCCCCATGGGTGACCTGATAGTTTTGATCTCCTCCAAGATACTCCCAGGGGTCCTAACGGACCCCACAAACCCCCTTCAGTTGCCCGGAAGTTGGTCTCTAATGGACCACACAAAGGAGGCCCTGAGGTCCTCGCCTGGCCAGGGTCAAGGTCAGCAGCCCCCTTTGGCTTCAGGGAGGGAACCTGTCCCGCAGCCCCAGTGGCTTCAGGCAGGCCTGAACTCTAGAAAGCCCGCCATGGCCGCCTCCAAGCAGGGCGCATCCTGTTGGGATTTGCAAATGTTAGGCTCCTGAGTCAAGGTTATGGAAGGTTCAGAATTTGTTTCTTTCCTGGAGAAGAGAGCTCCCTTTGTTTTCTTTCTCCTGATTTCCATTTTATTTCTTCTGGGAAGACCCATAATAAATGATTCTGTAATGAGGCCCCATGTGGTGTTTGGGGCTGAGCCTTCAGTTCCTTCACATTCTGCCCACAAACCTTCTACCCTCTTCCTCCTCCCCCCACCCTCTGCGAGTTTTATGCCTCAGCTCCCCTGGGAAAGCAAGGGGGGTCGAGTCTCCAGGGCCAGGTGACCGTGTGCCGGTGTCTATGCAGGCCCTTGAGCACTCACGCAGGTACCTGTGGAGCGGAAGCCGAAGAGACGGCCTGGCGATCAGCAGGCTGCAGGGTTTGAGTCCAGCGCTCCGGTGGCCTGGCCCTCACCGGACAAGCTGCCTGCAGGCCCGAGCCAGGAAGGGGGCCATCCTGGGAGGTTGTTATGATGCAAACACAGCCAGAGGCGTGCTTCCCCTCATCCCACGCAAGGCTCACATCAGCCAGATGACAATCCTGTAGCAGCCATCGGTGCTGCTGTCACTCCCGGCTTACAGCAAACTATGCCTTTGTGAAACCTGTCATGGAAAGGCTGACTGGACCTTTGCCATTATGAAGCACTCTATGACTCCTGCTCTCCAGCTCCCACAGCTCAAGCAGGATCTGCTTCCCGCCCTGTGATCCTACACCCTGGTGACCCAATGCAGGAGGGGAGGAAAGAGCAGGGCGGGTATGAGCCCCTGCCCTCCAGGACATGCCTGCCTCGGTGTGAGCCCAGTCCCCCAGGTCTCCTCTCCACTTCCCCCTCCGTCCTCCCCTCCACGCCCCAGCTGTCTGCAAAGGCCCACCCCCATCCCCAGGGCCTCTGGTTCCAGTTCAAGTCGGAAAGCCTCCTGCTCCCCGCCCAGACCGCAGGAGGCTGTGTGGGCCCAGCGCCCAGACCCCAGGCCGGTTTGTGGACCGAGGGTAGAATGTGGACTGCACAGTGGGCACTCTGGTTTCCTAAGCACTGCCACCTGTCACCCCAGCAGTACAAGATCTGGGGCGGAGGAGGCAGGCAGGGGTGTGGGGATTCCCTCACATGCAACTCCCCATCCCCCTATCCTGCCAGGATAACAGAGCCCCATTTTTCTCCCGCTCCTGCCCAAACCTACCCAGGCCCCCACCCCTGCCCAACCCCCAGGACATGGTCCCATTCTCTGCCCCCTAAGTGTCCCTCCCTTGCTCTAAACTGCTCGGCTTCTCACTGGTATATCCATAACACACATTCACCTTCCTTCATGAGGAGGATGGGGGGGTCTCTGTCTAGCTGTCCCTCAATTTCTTCCTCAAATGAAGCCCCCACCTCCAGTACAGGGCTGGGGGGGTGAGATGGGGAGAGTCCACCCATCTTACATGTCAGTGCAGGGGGTGGCTGGAGGGGAGTTTGGAAAGACCAAATGTCCACAGAAAGGGTCTCATGATCTCAATCTGGTTTTGAGGTGCTGGAACCCACCCCCCAGGCTACCCCAAAGTTTCTCTGCACAAAGCAGCCCACCCTGGCACCTCAGGATCCCGGAATTCAGAGAACAAGGGGAGATCTGGGTACAGGATTCCCAGCAAGGTTCACACTACACCTTGTCCCAAGACCAGGCCTTGTCCGTCGCTGATCCATAAATAAGCATTTATTGAGTGCTGACTGGCTGCCCAGCGTCCAGGAGATGGCAGCTGTGGGCGGAACACACCATGGCAGAAAGGGCGGGGCGATTTCAGCTGTTCCTTCGCCAACCCCAGACAGCACCTGCGTCCCAGGGATCAAGCCCAAACTGGGGGAAGGGTCTGGGAGTAGGGACGGTCCTCCTAAGGTGATCTTCCTGGAAATTCAGCAGAGGCCAGGTGCCCTTCCCCCGGTGTAGGCGGCCTCCCCGCACCGGCCTCCTAGGTGGACATGGAAGGAGAGCCGGAGGAGGGCGAAGGCTCAGACTTCCCGGCACCTCTGAAACCTGGCGGAGGAGGAGGGAGAGAAATGCTTAATCACAGGCGATGACTCAGTGCTCCCCACGTTACCCAAGGACGCGGCCTCCGGGGCTGCCGGGGCTTTGGCGCCACCCAGGGGCTGCTCCGGAGACAGCGACCCCGTTACGTCCGCGGCTCCGTCGGGAGGCCCCGCCGGGACCCAGAGCTGAGACAAAGCGCAGGAGTTCCCATTCCGCGACCATGCTGCCCTCTCGTGGCCGCCGTGCTCTGGGCTCCCCCAGAAGTTAACCAGGGAGGCCGGCCGCGGGCAGCCTTTCTGTGCCAATGCGGTGGTGGGGGCTCCCCCGGCCCCGGCCTCTAAGCCCAGGGAAGCAAGTTTTCCTACTACCTACGGCTTAAAGGGAAAAACGGAAAATTCTGACACCATCTTCTCTATGTCCTTTTAGCCTCCAGCATCTCCCAGCGGGACCGCATCAGCATCAAACCTCACAGGGAACACTGTCTTCTCCCGGAGGCAGTCTTTCAAACTTTTGTTTTGGTTTTTTTGAGACAAGAGTCTTGCTCTGTCGGCCCACTGCAACCTCCACCTCCCGGTTCAAGTGATTCTCCTGCCTCAGCTTCCCAAGTAGCTGGGTTTACAAGTGCGCGCCACCACGGCAGGGCAATTTTTGTATTTTTAGTAGAGACGGGTTTCACCATGTTAGTCAGGCTGGTCTTGAACTCCCGACCTCGTGATTTGCCCGCCTTGGCCTCCCAAAGTGCTGAGATTACAGATGTGAGCCACCGCGCCCGGTCAGTTCTTCTTTCTGTACCTGTAATAACCAGCTGGGCGCAGTGGCTCCTGTCTATAATCCCAGCACTTCGGGAGGCCGAGGCAGGCAGATCACTTGAGGTCAGGAGTTTAAGATCAGCCTGGCCAACATGGTGACACGCTGTTTCTACTAAAAATGCCCCCCAAAATCAGCCAGGCATGGTGGTGCATGCCTGTAATTCCAGCTTCTCGGGAGGCTGAAGAAGAAAAATTGCTTGAACCCAGGAGGCAGAGGTTGCAATGAGCTGAGATAGCAGCACTGAACTCTAGCCTGGGCGACAAAGTGAGACTCCATCTCAAAAAAAAAATAAAAATAAAAAATAAGTAAAAATAAAATCATAAAAGTCTTTTTTGCGGGCTGGGCACTGTGGCTCACACCTGTAATCCCAGCACTTTGGGAGGCCAAGGTGGGCTGATCACCTGAGGTCAGGAGTTCAAGACCAGCCTGGCCAACATAGTGAAACCCCGTCTCTACTAAAAGTACAAAAAATAGCCGGGTGTGGTGGCAGGGGCCTGTAATCCCAGCTACTCAGGAAGCTGAGGCTGAAGAATTGCTTGAACCCAGGAGACGGAGGTTGCAGTGAGCCGAGATCACACCATTGCACTCCAGCCTGGGGCGGACAAGAGCGAGACTCATCTAAAAAATAGTAATAATAAATAATAAAATAAACTGCTGTTCTAAGCTCTCTCTAACGTCTTCCCCCAACCGTTGGAGGAAGGTACTGGGGCTAATTTTACTTCACAGAGGGCTCAGCCCCTATCCTGGGACAGGTCCCCCCCCCAGCCACCTGTGCAGGCACCTGCTCCTCCTCCTCGGCGGTGGCCCGAGTCCTGTGTCTTCGCCTTGTCAGGCCGGACCAGCTTCTTGCCCGCCGAGTTTCGGGTTGTGTGGCTGTAGACGGAGGTGTAGCCCTGGCCGGTGAGCGGGCAGAAGCGTCGGGTGTGGGCGCGCTCACGCGTGGCGCCACACTGGGGGCACACGTAGTCCCGCAGGATGGGACACAGCACCCTGCCAGCCTCGTCCTTCAGCACGTGGGACAGGTAGATGGCCCGGGACTCCCCGTTGTGTTTGCAGAAAGAACACAGGCGTTCGGGAGCTGGCGAGGGCTCCAGGCAGTGCTTCTCCTCCTGGGGTCCTGGTGTTGGCACCGGCTCTGGCACTGGCTCCTCTGGCTCTGGCTGGGGGTTCAGCCTAGTCTCAGGCCCCTCTTTCCCACTCAGAGCCCTAACCAGGCGTGCCAAACCCAGGTAATCTGTCCACAGGTCAAAGGTCCCCATAGCTGGGAGATACAGCGACAAGAAACCCTGCCTGGCCCACGCTCCCGCCTTCTGTCCCTCTCTGCTGCCCCTTCCTTCCCCTCTCCGGAGCCTGGGAGTCTGGGCTGGCCGACCCTCCTTTTACTTCCAAGTGGGTGTGAAGAGGGAGGAGCAGGCTGTGGGAGGTTCCCTATTGTCACAGGGGGGCTTGGTGCCCCATTAATGCACCTCCCAAGGGCTTGCATGGCCTCTGGCTGTGCTGGGGGCCAGTGGGACACAGGTGGGACACCCAAAGATGTGCCCCACACCCCCATGTACACATCGCCAGGGAATTGGGGGGCTACCCTGCCTCCCCTCCTTGTAGGAGTCCTTTGCCCTCCAGCCCAACTGGTGGATGGGGAGGAAGGGTTGGAAACCCCACCTCCAAAGACTAGCAGTTACCAGTAACTTAGTAACTTCTTTCTAACTTTTTCTTCCTTCCCCTGGGCGGGGAGTGGCCAGGTGCCCCTGGGCTCTTTGTGTGTGTTCAGTCCGGGGGAGGCTGCTGATCCTCCAGCTGCCTCTGAAAGGGGTGTGGAGGTTCCAGGCTCACGGGCTGGTTGGGGGGTGGGTAGGGAGGAAGGGTCCCGCCGCATGCCCCCAGCTCTGGTCTCCCTCCAAGAATTTTCACGTGGTTTTCTTAGTGGGACCCCCATTTCATGGATGAGCAAACACGTTTGAAGCCATCTGCCCATGCAGTTATTTATAAAGTCAACCACCAGGCTGGCAGGGTGGCTCATGCTTGTAATCACAGCACTTTGGGAGGCTGAGACAGCTGGATCACCTGCGGTCAGGAGTTCAAGACCAGCCTGGCTAAAATAGCGAAACCCTGTCTCTGTTAAAAATACAAAAAAAAAAAAAAATTAGCTGGGTGTGGTGGCGGGTGCCCGTGATCCTAGCTACTCGGGAGGCTGAGGCAGCAGAATTGCTCGAACCCAAGAGGTGGAGGTTGTGGTGAGCCGAGATCAAGCCACTGCACTCCAGTCTGGGTAACAGAGCAAGACTCTGTATCAAAAAAAAAAATTTAAAAAGCACCAAATCTGCCTCCTTCTTCCAGTTACTGGGGCCCCCTGAGACTAGGTGCTGGGGAGGGAGCACTTCCTTGGCTGGGGGTGCAGAGGGGTGAGGAAGAACCCTCTGGAGATGGGAGGTGGGGGTTAGCAGAGGTGCAGGTTGGGCTGTTAGAAGGGGACCCTACTACCTACACCTCTTCAGTGTCCTCCCCAGCTGGGACCCCAGCTCAGTCCCATGAGGGTAGGGTGTGCCCAGGACTCGGACACAGAGGAGAGAGGCTATCCTCCTTACACACCTCCTCCACCCATCCATTCATTTAAGAAACTTTTAGGCCGGCTGAGGTGGCTCACGCCTGTAATCCCAGCACTTTGGGAGGCCGAGGCGCTGCAGATCACCTGAGGTCAGGAGTTCAAGACCAGCCTGGCCAACATGGTGAACCCGTCTCTACTAAAAATACAAAAATTAGCCAGGCGTGGTGGTAGCACCCGTAATCCCAGCTACTCGGGAAGCTGAGGCAGGAGAATCGCTTGAGCCCAAGAGGTGGAGGTTGCAGTGAGCAGAGATCGTGCCATTGCACTCCAGCCTGGGCAACACAGCAAGACTCCATCTCAAAAAAAGAAAAAAAAAAGAAACTTTTGTTGGCCAGGCACTGTAACTCGCTTTGAGAGGTTGAGGGAGGATGGCTTGAGCCCAGGAGTTGGAGACCAGCCTTAGCAAAGTTCAAGACCCCGTTTCTACAAAAACATTTTTTCAGTAAGCTAGGTGGCTGTGGTGCATGCCTGTGGTCTCAGCTACTGGGGAGGCCGAGGCGGGAGGATCAACGCTTGAGCCCAGTAATTGGAGGCTGCAGTGAGCTATGATCCTGCCATTGCCCTCCAGCCTGGGTGACAGAGGGAGACTGTCTGGAAAAAAAAAAAAAAAAAAAAAGGCCAGGCACAGTGGCTCACACCTGTAATCCCAGCACTTTGGGAGGCCCAGGCGGTGGAATCTCAGGGTCAGGAGCTTGTCTCTAATTTAAAAAACAAAACGATTGAGCACTCCAGGGAGCAGAGCTCACCACCCACATTTCAGAGACGATTTTAGGCTGGAGAAGCAGCTCACGCCTGTAATCCCAGCACTTTGGGAGGCCGAGGTGGGAGGATTACTTGAGTTCAGGAATTCGAGATCATCCTGACCAACACAGTGAAATCTCGTCTCTACTAAAAATACAAAAATTAGCTCAGTTTGGTGGCAGGTGCCTGTAGTCCCAGCTACTTGGGAGACTGAGGCAGGAGAATCGCTTGAACCCGGGAGGCAGGGGTTGCAGTGAGCTGAGATCGTGTCACTGCACTCCAGCCTGGGTGGCAGATCGAGACTCTGCCTCTCAAAAAAAAAGAAGGGACTTTAGCTGCCCTACCCTAACCTGTGTACCCCCTAACCTGTGTACCCCCCTAACCTGTGTACCCCCCTAACCTGTGTACCCCCCACCCAACCCTCCAACAGTCCCAAATCCAGCCAGAGTCCATCCAGATCCCAGACACCGGCTCTCCTTTCCAAAGAGGAGTGGCTGGGGTCTGGGCAAAAAAACAGGCTGAGTTACTCTGGGGGTGGAGCTGGGGTCCTGTCCCCTGTCCCCATTCCCCTTAAGCCATGTCTGGCCCAGCCACAGTGACATTCATCCCCCGGTGGGTCTGGCCTCGGTCCTCACAACCCACCGACAACAATGAATGTTGATTGTGACCTTGGCTGTGGCTTAGGGGAGGGGGTGTGCCCAGGCCGGGACAGGGGATCCCCTGGTCCCCCTAGATCTTGAAGGTCGGAGTTACCGGCAGGAGGGCGGCAGTTCCAGGTCTCAGGGTTCACTCAACGGTCGATGGTTTGCTTGAGCTGCCCAAACTCACCGACAGGTTGAATGTTCCCCCAAACCCTTGGCAAACTATCCTGGACCTGGAGTGGGGGCGAGCGCGTAGGTGGCAGGGAATCATAGAGGGTGAAGGGGAAGAGGAGGAGGGAGTAAGGGACCCCTTGTTGCTCATGAAATTAACAAACCCTTTTCAGGTGCCAATCTGGGAAAACACAAGGCAAATATAAATCATAGTACATAAAATGTAGCCTTTGCTGAGGGGATGGAGCTGTAGCCCCGGGAGTGCTGGCTTCAAGCCGGTCCCCTAAGTAATTCACAAAGCGGTCCTGGAGGTGCACATGACCTCCCATTTGTCAACTGGGGAGACTGAGGCCAAAGGGCACTGCTAGTCCCAGGTGGAGGCGGCATTCCAAGTGGCCCCGGGAAGTCTGGCAACCAAGGATCCTGGCCCCGGGGCCACTGATGCAACGTGGAGATAAACAAGCCATTTTAATACAATGTAATACGTTCTGGGAGCTTCACTGGGTTCCGGGCACGACCGTTTAGGAACCACAACAGCCGGGATTGGGGGCGCCTGGGGGGAGTGGTCAGGTCTCTCCGCTTTGCAAGTGCAGTTCCCAATCAACAAGGGAGAGGCGGGAAGTTCGGAGAGGGCGCTGCTCCCACCGCCTGCTCCGCAGCACAGCATCTGAACTCGGACACTTCCGGAGCGAGTGCACGGACCGCAGCCACGTGGGGGCTGCCCCTCGGGCCTCAAAACGGGCTGCGGCGCCCCCCCATTTCCTCATTCTTCAAATGGCCCCCACTCCGTTACTGCAGTGATTGCACAGAGTTTGGCGACCACCCCCTCCCCGCCTGAGGTGCCCCAGGCCTATAGCTATGCACCCCTATCCCCCAGCCAAGCAGTGACCAGGGATGGGGGAGCATGCTTTCGCCCCGCCCCCCGTCCCCCCATCTGCGGACGGCTTAGGAAGGAGCATTCAGAGTTCCTGGGCCCGGCCGGGCACTGAGGCTCACGCCTGTAATTCCAGTATTTGGGAGGCCGAGGCGGGAGGATGGTTTGAGCCCAGGAGATGGAGACCAGCCTGGGCAACAAAGCAAGATCACCGTCCCTACAAAAAAAAAAAAACAACTTAGCTGAGTGCGGTGTAGTGAGTCTGTAGTCGCGGCTACTCAGGAGGCTGAGATGGGAGGATCGCTTGAGCCCTAGGAGTTCCAGGCCGCAGTGAGCCGTGATCGCGCCCCTGCACTCCGGCCTGGGTGACGCGGCGAGACCCCCGCAAAAAATACATGACTTCCTGGCCCCTAACATGTCACCAAGGGGCATACTGAGGCCCAAAATAAACTTCTGGCATAACCCCAAGGCGAATGAGGGACCCCAAGTGTCCCGACCTGAGCGAACCCACCCCCACCACCCGGGACCCGGCCGAGCCCCACTAGGCCTTGCCCCCCGAGAGCCCCACCCACAGTCTGGAGCCAGCCAAGGCCCCGCCCCAGGCCCTTCCCCTTAGAGCCCCTTAACCTGCTCCCCAGGGCGCGCTCCTTCTAAATTCCGCCCATATAGGCTCCCACGGGGCCCACCCCCAAGCCCCTAAGCCGGTCCTCAAAAAGCCCAGCTCCCCTGGGGCGCGCCCCCACTGCCCCCCACCACCCGCCTCAGAGCCCGCCCCATTAGGGCCCTCGACAAAAGCCTGCTCCCTAGACGCCAGGGGACTGCGTCCGGTCCCCACAAGGCCCAGCCCCCCACTAAGGTCCGCCCCGACCGGGCCCGCCCCCAAGCCTAACTTCATAGGGCCCCTCAGAACCTGATCCCGGCCAACTCGCCCTCTCGAAGGCCCCCCCGCCCTCACCTTCTAGAGCCCGCCCTCTCACCCACCCCGGGTCCGGGTCACGTTCCCACCCCTCTGTCTGGAGCTGGAGTGGGGCGCCCTCTCTCGCTGAGATCGCAGCTCACTCGGGTTCAAGCGATTCTCCTGCCTCAGCCTCCAGGGTAGCTGGGACTACAGGCGCCCCCCACCACGCCCAGCTCAGGTTTGTATTTTTAGCAGAGGCGGGGTTTCACCATTTGGTTTCACCATCGCCAGGACGGTCTCGATCTCTTGACCTCGTGATCTGCCCGCCTCAGCCTCCCAAAGTGCTGGGATTACAGGCGTGAACCACTGAATCCAGCCCGGCTCTCTCTATCTGCCACCTCCACCTGGGTGTCCAGGCCCTTCTGAGGGAAGTGGCCTGTCCCCTGCCTTGCCTGCGGGTCATCATTCTAAGGAGAAGAATGCCTGGGACCTGGACAGGAGAGTGAGTTGGGAGCACAGGTGTTAACAGGAGCATTACTGGTGATAACGCTAATTCATCGCCCCGTGAATAGGATACCCATTTGGTGGACCGGGAAGGTGGGGCCCTGATGGTCCAGAACTCTCAAGGTTCCTCAAAAGCTTGGTTCCTGCCTGTAGTCCCAGCTAGCCGGGAGGCAGGAGGATGGCTGGAGCCCAGGAGTTGGGACTAGCCTGGAAAACACAGGGACACCCCCATCTCTGTCTTTTTCTTTTCTTTTTTTTTTTTTTTTTTTT